ACCATTTACCATAAGAATCACTGAAAAACACTTTGAGTTATTCAGCTAGAAAGAGAACAGGTTAAAATTGTTTTGCGTCAGTCGCACTATGTCTCCTCAACTGAGCAATGACGGGAGGAAAATGATCATTCAAACCTTAAGTAATAGTACCAACATTCATCCTCTGCCTTCCATCTTCAAAGACCATTCAAGAACCATCAAGAGAATGGTGAATAAGTTTCAAAAGAGGGAACAATAGAGAGGAAAACTTGTTCAAGTCACAACAAGTGAGATCATCTTTTCATTTCTGTGTGTGTGTGCGTGTGTGTTTGCGTTTGTGTGCGTGTGCCTCTGTGTGTGTGTGTGTGTGTGTGTGTGTGTGTGTGTGTGTGTGTGTGTGTGTGTGTGTGTGTGTGTGAAGAGAGACAGACAGACAGATCATAAAAGACCTACTGAGAATTCTATGAAAAAAACAATCTCCATGAAACTCCGGGTACAGATTCATATAAATGAACTATTTATATATATATAGATGTGTGTATTTGTGTGTGTATGTGTATGTATGTACAGAAGATCAAATATAGATCAAATATGGATAGGAATCTGACAAAAAGATAGGCTAAAGAACAAGTCGGAAACGGATCCCAATCTAATACGTTTCACTTTATTACAGCTTCGTCAGAGATCAAGATAGGAATTTCTTATGTTAAAGTGAAATCTATTTCTTACGAACCCGACTAGAATTCGAACTCACTTCGCTATAGTAACCTAAAGTTTTGAATTTAAGCGCGTTAGTAGACTGGCGTTGAGATCTCGTCAATTTACAGTTTAATTGGCTAAATGTAACCATAAGTTCTATGCTAACACTTTCTTTTCTTACATTGCTCGCTTGTAGAACTTTCATTCCGGCTCGATGCTTTCCAGCCAACTTTAGCCTTCAAAAACTTAAATGCAACGTCAATCACTATCTACTATCCTCCTGATTACTCTTTACTCTTTCAACTCATTATTAATTTTTCTGTTCGGAATTCTTCCACACTCTCGTAATCTCTTGCGTCTTAGTGGCTTTACTGCCTTTCTTGTGGTTATACAGATTTTAAAAAAATCGTTTGAACTGTACTTCGACGACATAACTTACTGGTTTAAAACTTAACGAATGATAGTCACATTTTGATAAAGGAAATATTCAATTTACCACGATCAGATTTCGTAAATTATTATATATTTTGAAATTATTTATGATATATTTTGAAATTATTTATGATATATTTTGAAATTTTCTTTCAAATTTTAAAAGTTGATAATTGAGAATTTTATTGAAGAGAAAAAAAAATGTGCATATTTATTTTAGCGCTCTATTATTCGAGAGCAGAGAGACGACATAGGTTATTTCCGCATCCGGGAAACTTTCGCACAAACGGTAGCCATTTATGTGACATTAACGGCAGTGAGCAACGATAGAGCTTTAGAGAAAACAGTAGCAAAAAAAAGTACACAAATAGTTAATATATCAGAAAGAGGAAGTTGAAATTTTTATGGGACATGAAGAGAAAAGAGGGCTAAGAAAATTTGACACACTGGATAAGGCAAGAAGGAAAAAACAGTTTACAAGCATCTCGTGTAAATGGTTAGCAGAAGATTGACTAGGAAATATAGGAAAGGAAATGAATTATATTTCTGTTGCCTAAAGTCTCTTTAGAAGGTTATTGAGAATACATGGGCTGGACATGCAACAGGAAGTTTTAATAAAAATAGAAACAAAAAGGACATTGGTATTTAGAATCAGAAATGGTTGAAATTTCTCGAAGACATGATGAAGAAAACAAGTTTGGCGTTTTCGATATTGAAGGCAAAAGGGACAGAAGAAATCAGTGCACAACATGTTCCGTGTGAGTTCGTTTCTTGTCGTCACCGTTATTTTTCGTGTGAGTCCATTTCAAACATCCTCGTCGCCACTGTTGTGTTCCGTGTAAGTTCGTTTCAAACATCCTCGTCGCCATTGTTGTGTTCCGTGGGAGTTCGTTTCAAACATCCTCGTCGCCACTGTTATATTGCATGCTAAGGGAATAAACATATAACACCAATTGGATACTAGAAGAAAGGTTTATTGTACACAACAAGTACAATATGAAATACGGCACAGTTACACACGCTGAAGAATCTAGTATTGAGTGCCATTAATTGGAAGGTCGGACGTGCTTGCGTGGTCTCTATCACTTTTCTTCAAGTCTCTCGTAGACGGTTGACTTTATAGGTACTTGCTACCTATAGTGTAACCATTCATGGGGGTGACTGGTTATTCCATTACATCAACAAGGTACCTAAAGAGCTTGTGTAAATGGATGGCAGAACAGAGTTCAAGAGAGAAAACAACAAACAAAATTTACTAAGAGCTACAAAGGACTGGAGAGCCATGACGACCAACATCATAGAGGTTTGATTTGGTTTGTTTTGTTTTACAGCATATCAAACTCAGTGGGTTATTTAATGCCGGCAAGATTTCTATTGATGGTATTAATTATTTACAAAAAAATTATTCCTGATAATATTTTTTTCCTCAAAAATGTATTGTTGCTAATATTTTTTCCTTCAAGAATGCATGTAATAACGTATTGCTGGTAATAATTTTTCCTCAAAAAATATTTCTAGTATTAAAACCTATTTTTACACATTCATGGTGTTTTGACCCCAGTCAGGAAGTCAACCAATTGTGTATAGTTGGGATCCTAACAGGTGTTAACACCTTGAGTCAGGATGAACCTAGGAACACCAGCAATTAAGAGGGGGTTACACGCTCGTCAGAACAACCTGATCAGAGGCCTTGCTGCTGGATGCAGTTGATCGTCTTACCCAGGACACACATCATGAAGGACACGGTACATAGAAGAAGAAGAAGAAGAAGAAGAAGAAGACATTTTTATTTAGGAGAAAAGAGAGGTTGAAAATTTTAAAACTCGTAGGACAGACTTATGGCAAAAGAATGGGTTAAATAGTTAATTGTACACTTAGATCAGAAGCCTTGGGCAGCAGCCAAAGAAAAGGAAAACTCTGACTTCCAAAGAGTGGAGAAAATATATGGCAATTCACAGATAATAAAGAAAAAGAAATCTATGAAGAGACATTATCGCCTTCGTCTTGAAGGAACGTGGTATTTTGAAAATATGCGTGTGTTTATATAATGCACACACACACACACACACACACACACACACACACACACACACACACACATAAAAAATGTATAGGCCTGACCGTAAGCTAGTTGGGCAGACACCATTACTGCCATGTCCGTGTTAGGATGAAATGACGAAGCAGACGGTCATGACATACTCGAAGATTATGAGGAAATCTAAGAGCGATAGAATCGATTCAGATAATCAACCAGACGGAGATAGACTTTCTGCAAGAAATGGTAAATGAGAGAACATCACACAAGACTCAGTACATGAACAAACAAAAGTGATATATATATATATATATATATATATATATATATATATATTTCAAAAGGAACCAATATATATATATATATATATATATATCAAATATCATATATATATATATATATATATATATATATATATATATATATATATATATTTTCTAAGAATCAATATATATATATATATATATATATATATAATTTATTCGAAAATTATAACATGAATATGTTATAAAGTCACTACAAAAATAGCCATTTTGTTTCAACTTCTGGTGTCTTATCAAGTGATTGTGTTGAATGTATTTTTGTAGTGATTTTATAACATATTTATGTTATAATTTCCGAATAAATTATATTTTCTCTACTCTGTATTTAGCACTCTTTTAAGAATAGTATTTTTTTGGGTTATTGGGCTTTATTCACTATACACAAACCCTATACTTGGGGATATATATATATATATATATATATATATATATATATGAAAACTGATATCTATAAATATATATATATAAATATATTTCTAAGGAATCAATATATATATATATATATATAAAAGGTGATATATATATATATATATCACTTTTCATATATATATATATAGATTCCTAGAAATATATTTATTTATATATATATATATATATATATATATATGTATATATATATATATATATATATATATATATATATATATATATGTATATATATATATATATATGTATATATATATATATATATATATATATATATATATATATATATACATACATACATACATACATATATATATGTATGAAAAGTGATATCTATAAATATATATATACATATATTTCTAGAGAATCAATATATATATATATAAGGAATCAATATGTGTGTGTGCGTATATGTTGAAAGTGCTCCAATCCCAGCAGGGTGTTATTTGTTCATTTGTAGTTGGCTGAGCGGAAACCATTTCAGCACCACTCATATATATATATATATATATATATATATATATATATATATATATATATAATTTATTTTGTTTAAACGTTATTTTTATGGATAGTCATGTTCGAGTAGAAGCACTGTTTTTTTTTTAATTTAAGCCAACTACATCTACCGGCCTGAATATTCGTGAACTCTTGTAAGAAAAATATATGGTAGGATTCGAACTTGCATCCCTTGATGGATTCTGTCAGTTGGATCTGACGTGCCTTACTCAATAGCAGGACATAAATCGTCCTGTAGCCTTGGTTGTCAACGAGCCTAGGAGAAGGACAACAGAATTCAAAACTCAAGGAAAGTCTTTTGAGAGTCTTGTAGCACACTATGTGCACTTGTTCTCTATACTGAACACTCTATCTCATAAGTATATATATTTATATATGTGTGTATGTGTTGTGTGTGTGTGTGTGGTTATTAAATCAATAGATAATAACTTGTAGCTATTCGTGAATTGATCATTAATTGAAAATATACAGTCTTGTACAACCAACAAACTATCTCTCTATTTATCTATCTAGCTAGATATCTGCCTGCCTGTCCATCTGTCCCATTCTGTTTATATCTCTCTGTATCACTGTGTTCACATCTACCTATGTATTTATATATGTCAGTCTGTTCACATCTATCTATCTATCTATCTATCTATCTATCTATCTATCTATCTTCAATATCAAATATTAACAAATCAATCTCTCCTAGTCTATTTATATCAATCCTTCTATCTAATTCAGTATTATATCTATAATTATCAACGTAATCTCACATAAAGGTATCTTTTCAAGCGCGTACATACACACGTCTGCATATAGATATATATATATATGTATATATATATATATATGTGTGTGTGTGTGTGTGTGTACGTATATATGTATATCATTCTTAAATATAATGGTAGAATGTTGGATCAAACTTTGGCAGTGTACGTAGGAAGCTGTGACCGTTTGATATATATCAGGCTATAGATCCGCCTGTCATATTACAAGATTGGCTCAAGACCGAAAGCGGAAGTGAAGGGGTCATGTAATGGATAGGGCAATTCTAGATCCTGCCCGCCAGAGCGATTGGTTGGCGGCAGGGGGTGGAGAGGGGGTGGATCTTTGGAGATGGGATGTCTGTAGGAGCAGAAAAAGGCGAAAAAGAAAGTGGCGATAACTCTTGCCCAATTGTAATTAATAAGTAATAGGACTGTCACATCTGTACGGGATGCCGCATGAAATATAAGATATAAATTACCGTATTGCCTGATAAAGTTCGCCCATCTCACTTCCTGTCGAAGAGATTGTGTTCCTGTGGTATGCTCTGTCTTTCGTGGAGCCTTCGGAGCGCACCTTTGGTGTCGGTGGTTGGATGGTTGGTTGCTTGCTTAGCTGGCTGGATGCTACATTGGTGGGTTGAATTTTCCCGCCAATGATGGTAAAGTAAAGGTGGTGGGGTTTGATAAAGGCGCGAAATTATTCCACCAAGCCAATCATCTTTTACCGCCCTACCGCTGTTTTTCATTGGTCGATTCTTGTTTGCGTGCGTCGCGCAAACCTTGATACCCGCCATCTTCTTTTACAGCCCCACTATTCTCTTTATTTCTCTCTAATCTCTCTCTCTCTCTCTCTCTCTCTCTCTACCTTTGTCTTATTTTTCTCCGGTTTTCTCTTTGAAGCTTATTTTATTATAAATTCCTTCGTTTGTTTGCTATTTTTAATTTCTATTCATTATCGATTTTCTGTTTATTTTGCTTTTTGTTTCCGTTCTTTTTTGTTCTGCTTATTTAGTCTTTTGTTTTTAATAGATTATTACCGATTCTTATCTATTTCCCTCTCTCTTTTCTTACACTCTGTTCCTCTCTCTTTTCTTACTCTATTTCCCTCTCTCTTTTCTTACACTCTTTTCCTCTCACTTTTCTTACACCCTTTTCCTCTCTCTCTTTTCTTACTCTATTTCCCTCTCTCTTTTCTTACTCTCTTTTCCTCTCCCGTTTCTTACTCTCTTTCCCTCTCTCTTTTCTCACTCTATTTCCCTCTCTTTTCTTAAACTCTTTTCCTCTCTCTTTTCTTACTCTCTTTTCCTTTTCTTACTCTCTTTACCTCTCCCTTTTTCTTCCTCTTTTTTCTCTCTCTTTTCTTACTCTACCTTTTCCTCTCTTTTTTCTTTAACTCTGTTCCTCTCTCTTTTCTTAACTTTTTCCCTTTTTTCTTACAGAATTCCTCTCAAAAAAAGAAGAAAAAGTAGAAAGGCTCTCTTTTCTTTCTCCCTTCCTCTCTCTTTCATCAGTTTTCCTCTCCCGTTTCTTTTTATTTCTTTCCCTCTTTTTTTTCCTCTATTTCCCTCTCTTTTTTAAACTCTTTCCTCTCTTTTCTTTTCTTTCCTCTTTTTCTTTAAATTTTTTCTTCCTCTTTTTCTCTCTTTTTCTTACTCTATTTTCCTCTCTTTCCTCTCCTCTCTCTTTTCTTACTCTATTTCCCTCTCTCTTTTCTTAATTTTCTTTTCCTCTCCTTTTCTTACCCTTTTCTCTCTCTTTTCTTTTTCTCTTTTTCTTTTTTAAACTCTCTTTTCCTCTCCGTTTCTTTCTCTTTCCCTCTCTCTTTTCTCACTCTATTTCCCTCTCTTTTCTTAAACTCTTTTCCTCTCTCTTTTCTTAAAAGATTTTCCTTCCCTTTTTTTTTTCTCCCTTTTCTTCCTCTTTTTCCTCTCTCTTTTCTTACTCTCTTTTCCTCTCCCTTTTCTTACAGTCTTTTCCTCTCTCTTTTCTTACTCTCTTTTCTTACTCTGTTTTCTTCTCTTTTTTCTCTCTTCCTTGATTCCTCTTTTGCCCAACTTTCCTTTATATCTCCATTTCTGTACAAAACCCACATCCTCAATCTTTTTTATACACATTTCACGATTTTCATCCTTCATTTTACAGTATGTCTTCTTTCTCTTTCTTCGTCTCTCTTCACCCTCTCTCTCTCTCTCTTGTTCTTTCCCTTCCTCTTTCTTTTTTTTTTGTTCTCACTCTTCATCTCTCTTATTCTCTCCTTTCTTATCCGTTTCTCTTGTTTTTACTCTCCCTGTCTCTTTTTTGTTTTCTCTCTCCCTGTCTCTTTCTCTTGTTCTTTCTCTTTCTCTCTCTCTCTCTCTCTCTCTCTCTCTCTCTCTCGTGTTCTCACTATCGTCCTCTTTTTCTCTTGGTCTCTCTTCTTCTCTCTCTCTCTTGTTCTCAGTCTTCCTCTCTTCTCTCTTCCTCTTGTTCTCACTCTTTCCTGA